CCACCATAGCATCCCCCACAGGTCCCCCCAAAACCGTGCTTCTCATCTTCCAAATGAGAACAGGTTGCATCCGATCTGCTCTTAGTTCAGGTTTGCAAAAACATGCTTCGGGAAAACCTTGCCTGATTTGGCTGACTGTATCCATAATTTAATTGTTTTCCCTTCTCTAAAATGCAAACAAAGATTTTTCTTAAATAACCACGTCTTTTCTGAAAGCTTCCCTCCTTCCCCAGGCAAAATCATCTGCATGTCTGGGGTGCTTTGCTGAGGTGCCTGCATAGTAGGGACACACCAATAGTGACTGCACGGGTCCCCCCCCCCACCAGCTCCTTAAGGGCAGAAGCCACCTCTGCAGGGTTCTGGGCAGGGGTTGCTTCTTCAAGCCCAGATCCCGTGCTATCTAGGGCGTTCAGACCCAGTTACAGACCCCAAGAACGACATCAAATGCTTCGATGTAAGGTGCCGGGTTTATGTCCTCTGATATTCAGCACAGGCAGAAAATTGTTCACTTCTACTCAAAACACAGGAAGAAGACAATCATCCCTGGGCCCGAATTCACTGATCCTGAGAGACGGAATTCTCCCCGAGCCATCACTGAGAGAGGTGCTCAGGTAGGAAATCCTGTCCCAGAAGATCGAGCCGCCGCTAAAGAGGGAGGCAGTTCCTCTGGGAATAGTAAAATATTTGCTTTTTCCATTTTCCAAATCCGGTTACCCTTGGGCTGTGTCTTTGATGTTAATGTAGCTAAACCCCTGCTGAGATTCGCACAATTTTATCAGAAGAAACAGAAACAGAATGCCGGGCTCTCTCATGGCGGCCTCGCTCATCGGAGAGAAATTCACGACCGGGCTGGCGTCATTCTTCTCCCCCGGGACGGGCCTGCGGATCTCCACATCAGCAGTCACTCCGAAGCATGCTGCTGTCCCAGCCACTGTGCTTTCATTGGGCTACATTAATATTCTGACATCTTAAAGGCTTTCATTGTGGCTTAAGGCAAGAGAAGAAGGGATAAGGATGTGTAAAAAAAAATGTGTATAAACATCTTGGCTCTTGTCTTTTCCGGCTCATTCTAGCGAGGCGAGAAGACAATAGGTCAGGATCCATCACACTGATGGAGCACGTTTGGTGGCAGGGTGGTGCCTGTCCCCTAACGTTTTCTCTCTGCAGGTTCACCCGTCAGCGGTCGCGATGGAGTCTGAGGGTGAGTGTCAACCGCGTGGGAAGAGCCCGGGCCGGCAGCAAAGCAGCATCAGACGCTGTGAACCTTTTCTTCCTTTGGGGGAACTACAGGGTTCCTGCTTTCAGCCCGCTGGAGTATTTTTTTTCAAAGACCACCGAAAATAAATGAGCTCATTTACGCCCTTGATACTGGTAACCTCGTGACCCTATGGGACGAAGACGCACGACTGGATTCCTGAGTCTACGTGCAGGAGGACGGAAGCCCTCCCGCCCCCCCGGGAAGAAACGAGTGCCGGATCTGATGGGTGACGCGCTCACGGAGGCCACCGCCGGGTGGTCAGGGCTCAGGGTGGGGCCCAGGCAGACACTGTGCTGGTGTTCCTCACCCTGGCAAGGACGTAACCCAGCCACTCATTTTCTCAACCAAGGGAAAGGACAAAAATTGGTAAGACATGCTAATAGAAACCACTTGTCTATTTTTATAGGAAAGCACCGAAATGCTTAACTTTGGTTTTCCCTGAAAAAGAATCTGCAGAAGACAAATATCCATCTCCCCTAGCCAAGATTTCCAGCGTCCCTGGACTAGAGCCCCTTGCTCACCTGTTTGAAGCGGGCCTTTGCTGCTCTGGCTGTCCCCAGGCGTCCTCCCAACCCTCCAGGCTGAGCACCCCAGTCCCGGGGGGCAGCCGGGCCACCTCTGAGCAGGCAGCTTCCCGCCCTGCCCCTTGGGCACCGCGGGCCGTAGCCTGTTCACCGGCTCCGCCTGCCATCAGCTCCCCGCTCTCTGCAGTAGCATCGCTACCTACACAGGCTTATGTTCATGGCTGGATCAGTCAATCGCTCTTCTCCATGGGGAGAATTCCCAACTAGAGGAAGCGATCTGCACGGAGTCGGAATGTTTCCTGGGACAAACTTCCCAGCCAGATTCCAGCAGGCGGAGATGGCTTCCTAACCCGGGAAGAGGGCGCCGGGTGATGACCACGCCGAGGAATAACCCTAAACTAGCTCGACAGGAGACACAGGGGCTATCGGTCTATTTACGAAGCAGAGACAGAAGTGCCTCTTCCAGATCAGCTGCTGTGCCCACGGCAGTCCTGGAGCTCAGTGCTAATTCTCCCCTATTCCTGACGCCTCTGTGCTGGGCACCCGCTGAAGCCAAGAATCTCCAGCGCTTCCCTTCAGCAGCTCAGCCCTGCCAGCGAGAGTGGAGAAGGGAGGTCCCAGGTTCCTCCTCTCAGCCACACACACACGCACACACGCATGCACGCACACACACCTCCCCTGCAGATGGTCGAGGAAGGCCGGCCTCCATCCTCACCTGTGCCCTGACCTGGCCACCAAAGAGAAATACAATCCTTCTCCACCTAAACCATGTTAAACTGGTTTATTTATTAAGATCCCCAATGTTTTCAACTATTTGTCACCTCCAGTGACTTCCTGACCTCCCTCCCTGGCAGTTTAGATGGGTGGAGCTCAGACCCTGGGAACAGGGTCCAACCGGGGCAGTGAGCAAGTAGCAAGTCATGTCAAAAGGCTCGGTTTCTACACTTTCTGCCTGCAGATCCTAACACTGATTTGGGGCCCTGTTGTCATTTACAAGGTCATTTTTAATTACAGTTTTAACAGACTTAGGTTGCACTATTCTCTCTCTCTCTCTCTGGCTTACTTACCAACAAATAAAAGGTTGTTATTGATGTATTCCTCAATAACATAAACACTTATGCCACATTTGTTTTCTAGATGTCATTGCAAAGAAAGAGAGGCCAAGTGCTTACCCACAGTCCATGTGGTAGCTTTTAAAATTTTACCAAAAGATGAAGCTCCAGTGCATGACTGAAGCAAGGGTGTGGGAACTAATGGTTCCTACCAGCAAGACACAAATTCTATATTCTGCATTCCAGCACCTCCCCACTTACCAGATATAAAATTCCTTTTTTAATATTATTTAATAAGGTTCACATTGGAAGGAAAATAAAGTCTATTCACATAGATTGCAAAAAGGTGAAACCTGCATTTGGGTTGACCACTAACTAAAGATGTCTAGGAAACAGAAGAACACACATCTTACATCTATTAGATAGATAGACACACATAGATATGTAAAAACCTGGTAGGTATTTCTATTCTTCACCCAGATTTTCAGTTCTGCCCTCCTTTCACGCACATGCCCCACTGAAGTTACACATGGCCAAGGTACTTGCTTTGGCCAGTTAAGGATGAACAGTAAAGTAACGTGTCAGCTCCAAATGGAAGCACTAAGAGGCAGCTTATAATTCTCCTGTGCTCTCTACCTCTGCCAGAGAAGCCCCTAGGCTGTAAATCTGGATGGCAGTTTTATAAGATGGTGGAGCCTCCATCAGCTTGGGCTCTTGAGTCTGGGAAATTGAAAATACAGCCCAAAATTCTCCCCTCCCTGAATCCACACACCCTCACTATGTAGATTTGAGAGCCATTCCCCTCTGACTCTGAACTTAACCACATGACAATTACCAACTCTCTCCACCTATCATTAAAAAAACCAAAATGAGCCCTAAGGAGAGAAGATTAAGATCATGAAATTTTGAAATTTAGCAATGGACACAGGTAAATCTCCATTCTGATTATTGCAATCATATTTCAGTTCTTATGCTTACTATTTTTCAATACCCTAAGTTAAAAAATTATTAATATTAATCAACATAACAGCAAGGAATTTATTATTGATTGAAGCATGAGGAGTTTTGAATTTACTGTAAAGACAATACTAAGTAAAAAACCTAAAAACTTCCATTACACTCTAGATTCCTTTGATGTCTTTAATGACAAAATATTTTACTTTTGATTTGGATCTTTTAAATTGGCTTCTAGTCTTTCATGTACAATAACCCATACTCTCTAGCTAATCGATAAGCTGAAAAATAAAAAAAAACAGTATGTCACCATGAGTGTTTGTTTCCAAATTCTTCTCTCCATAAATTGATAAAATGTTGCTTAGTCAAGAATTATGTTAAAAATGCACGTTATGTGTGTGTCCAAGTGTGTACGTACAGACGTGAAAAGAAAAGCAACTATTTCTAATCCACATTAGAACATAGACTATGCTCATCACCATTCTTTTCCAAAAGCAGCCAACGTCTTTTCAGATATGCCAACGGTCATCATCCAAGGATGTGTAAAACAGGAAAACCAAGCACCACACTGACAGTGGCCTTTCCAGGTAAACAGTTCAGGGCGAGAAATCAACTTAAATATGAATACCGTTAGAAGTAAAGAGCCGCCATTTCTTAGAGGCTAAATTTAAATTTTGTCGTTTCTGGACACCAAATATAAGCCAAGATATTACGTATATACAAATATGTATTTCAGTGCTGAACATATATTCTTAATAGAATCTTCAAGAAAGAGGTCAGAGATACAACATAACCCTGAAGACATTGGAAAGGGCTAAAAGAGCATGGAATCAGGACTTCCATTCTCCTGGTCTTGGTTTCAGAGTATCAGTCATGCCTGTATCACTGAGTTCTCTCTCAGACGCACACCACCACTACTTTGTCTTTAGAAGCAGAAATAAGACCACAGTTTCCTCATAACAGTTAACATAATGGCTACGCTTACTGCGGGAGTCACTGATATCTACCCAGCAGTCTGTTCGCCAAGAATATCTGAATCGAGCCATCATAAACCCACATAAAACCCTTATATCAGGTTCATTTATAAAACAGCATCAACCTGAAGGATACTAATCCTTAATTACAATGATACATGGAGACCCGGTTCCATCTCTGAGGCCACCTGTCCGGAAGGTAAGCCCGGCACCTGCAGCCCGGACACGCAAAGCCTACCTGAGACAAGTGAAACAGTGTCTTTCTCCCATGAGACGACAGTGATGTACGCCTCCACCGAGGAGGGGATAATGCACTTGAAGACTGCGACATTGCCTCTCATGGTTTTCTGGTCCTCCACACGGACTGTATAGGGCTCCCGTAAAACTGGAAGGAAGGCAGGAAGAGAGCCTGGGTCAGGCACGTGGTCAGCAGGCCCGCTGTGAGAGCATCTCATCCTAACAGCTGCATCGCAGCACACACGTACCAACTGCGTAACATACATTGACTGGGAAAAAACTGACACCTACATTTCATGTCTTTCATCTCCCAACTTAAAAAAAAAACACAAAAAACCTTCATTCCATTAACAATAGGCGGCACTCTGTACCAGAGGGGCACTCCACAGCACATTGCTTCACTTATATGTATTTGTAGCTTCCAAATTTCCTGTTGTTATTGATTTCTAGTTTCATTCCATTGCGTTCAAGGAAAGTTAACTTGATATGATTTTGACTGTTTGAAATTTCCTGAGTCTTGTTTTGTGGCCTAGCATACGGTCTATCCCGGAGAACACTCCATGGGGTGATGAGAAGAAAGTTTATTCTGCAGCAGATAAATGAAATGTTCTGTAAATGCTCTTTAGGTCCATTTAGTCCAGACTATAGTTTAAGTCTGATGTTTCTTTATATATATTTTCTGCCTGGATGATCTGTCCATTGCTGAAAGCAGAGTATTAAAGTCTCCTACTATTATTGTATTACAGTCTATCTCTCCCTTTAGATCTATAAATAGTTGCTTTATATATGTGGGTACACCCATGTTGGGTGTGTATATTTTACTATTTTTATATCCTCTTGCTAAATTGACCCGTTTATCATTATATAATGATCTTCTTTGCATATTTTTACAGTTTTTGTCTTAAAGTCTATTTTATTTGACATATGTATAGATAATCCTGTTCTTTTTTGGTTTCTGTTTGGATGGAATACCTTTTTTCATCTCTTCACTTTCAGTCTATGTGTGTCTGTATAGGTGGATTGGGTTTCTTATAGGCAACATATAGTTGGGTCTTGCATTCTTATCCATTCAGCCACTCTATTTCTTTTTATTGGAGAATTTAATACATTTAAATTTAATGTTGTTATTGATAGGTAAGGACTTAATTATTGCCATTTTGTTACTCGCATTCTATTTGTTTTGTAACTTCTCCCTTTCTTTCTTACTGTCTTCTTTGTGATTAAGTGATTTTCTCTGGTAGTATACTTTAATTCAATCCTTTTTTATTTTTAGTGTTATCGTTTATAAGATTTTTTCTTTGTAGTTACCAAAAGGCTTATAAAAACATTCTATAGTTATAACAAGTTATTTAAAACTGATACCAACTTAACTTTGATGACAAAAAAGAAGAAAATGCCTATTTATTAAACAAGGATCACATAGTTGATGTTTATTAGGAGCACAGGCATACATCATTTTATTTCTGTTCAATTTATTGTGCTTCACAGATATTGTGTTTTTTACAAATTGAAGATTTGTAGCAACCCTGTGTCAACCAAGTCTACTGGTGTTATTTTTCCAACATCATGTGCTCATTTCACGTCTCTGTGACATATTTTGGTAATTCTCACACTATTTCAAATTTTTCATCGTTTTTGTTTTATCTTTTATGGTGATATGTGATCAGTGATCTTTGATGTTACTATTGTAATTAATTTACTTACAATTAAATAATTGTAATTATTTTGAGGTTCCAGGAACCATGTCCATATAAGACAGCAAACTTAACTGATAAATGTTTTATGCACTCTGACTACCCTACCAATTGGCCATTCCCCCATATCTCTCCTTCTCCTCAAGCCTCCTTATTCCCTGAGAAACAAGAACATTGAAATTAGGCCAATTGATAAGTCTACAATGGACCTGTAAGTGTTCAAGTAAAAGGAAGAGTTACATGCCTCTCACTTTAAATCAAAAGCTAGAAATAATTAAGCTTAGTTAGGAAGACATATCAGAATCTGAGGTAGGCTGAAAGCTAGGCCTCTTGCACAAACAGTTAGCCAAGTTGTGAATTCAAAGAAAAAAATTCTTAAAGGGAATGAAAAATGCTACTCCAGTGAACTCATGAATGACAAGAAAGTGAAACAGCCTTATTGCTGATAGGGAGAAAGTTTTAGTTGTCTGGATAAAAGACCAAACCAGCCACAACACTTAAGCCAAAGCCTAATGCACAGTATGTCTCTACCTCTCTTTAATTCTATGAAGGCCAAGAGAGGTAAGAAAGTTACAGAAGAAAAGGTGGAAGCTAGCAGAGGAAGGTTCATGAGATTTAAGGAAATAAGGTACCCCCATAACATAACAGTGCAAGGGAAGCAGCAAGTACTGATGTAGAAGCAGCTCAAGTTATCTAAATGAATTAGCTAAAATAATTGACGAAGGTGGCAACAGTAAACAACAGATTTTGATGTAGATGAAACAGCCTTCGATTGAAAGAAGCTGTCATTTATGACTTGCATAGGTAGAAAGAAGAAGTCAATGTCTGGGTTCAAAGATTCAAAAACTGACTCTCTTGTTAGTGGCTAATGTAGCTGGTAACTTTAAGCTGAAGCCAATGCTCATTGACCATTTAAAAAATCCTGGGGCCCATAAGAATTATGCTAAATCTACTCTGTCTGCACTCTAGAAATGGAACAACAAAGCGCTTCTGTTTACAGCATGATTTACTGAACATTTTAAGCCCACTGTTGAGACCCACTTCTCAGAAAAAAAGTCAGTTTTTTTCAAAATATTACTCTGATTGACAATGCATCTGGTCATCCAAGAGCTCTGATGGAGATGTACAAGGAGATGAATATTGTTTTCATGACTGATAACACAACATCCATTCTGTAGCCCATAGATCACAGTGTAATTTTGACTTTAAAGTCTTATGATTTAAGAAATACATTTTGTAAGCCTGTAGCTGCCATAGAGGGTGATTCCTTTGACAGATCTGGGCAAAGTAAATTGAAAACTTTCACCATTCTATACACGGTTAAGTACATTTATGATTCACAGGAGAAGGTCAAAATAGCAGCACAAACAGGAATTAGAAAGATTTGATTCCAACCCTCATGGGTAACTTTGATGAGTTCAAGACTTCAGTGGAGAAAATAACTGCAGATGTGGTGGAAATAATAAGAGTAGTAGAATTAGAAGTAGGGGCTGAAGATGTGACTTGATTATTGCCATCTCATGATAAAACTCGAATAGATGAGGAATTGCTCCTTATGGATGAGCAAAGAAAGTGATTCCTTGTGATGGAATCTACTCCTGGTCAAGATGTTGTGAACGTTGTTGAAATGACGACAAAGGATTTAGACTATTGCATAAACTTAGTTGAAAAAACAACAAAAGGGTTTGAGAGGACTGACTTTAATTTTGCAAGACATTCTACTGTGGGTAAAATGCTATCAAACAGCACCACACGCTACAGAGAAATATTTTTGTGAGAGGAAGAGTCCATTGATGTGACAAACCTCCTTGCTGTCTTATTTCTTTAAAATTACCAGTCACCCCAATCTTCAGCAACTACCACCCCGATCAGCCAGCAGCCCTCCACGTGGAGGCAGTAAGACCCTGTACTAGAGCAAAAAGATTGCAACTCACTGAAGGTTCAGATGAGGAGTTTGAGCATTCTTTTTTAGCAATGAAGTATTTTTAATTAAGGTATGAACATTGATTTTTCAGACATAATACTATTACATACCCAATGGAATACAATACGGTGTCAATGTAACTTTTACATGCACTGGAAAACCAAAAAAATTCATGTGACTCACAAAATTCAATTGCGACATTGGCTTTATTATTGTGGTCTAGATCCAAGCCCGCAATTTCTCTGAGGGATGGCTGTATTCATCCCTCTGTATTAGCCTTAATTCTTTAAAATATAAAAACCTTTTAAAACACAAATATCAGGAAACAAGGAATAGTCTCAATTTCATGATTTACTATGAAAATTAATTTAACCAAAATCAGAGCCAACTACACATTTCGTGGGGTCAACAAGAAAATGAAAATCCAGGGTCCTTATCTACAAGGAGGAAGAAAGTGCCTTTAAACATAGTGAAGTATGAAACATTTTTTTTTTTTCTTCTGTGGTCTCTCTGCCAACCTGTCATGTTGTCTTTTCATTCACTATTTAATGCCACACTTCCTTGGGCGGTGATAATCTCCGGGCACGTGCAGACCCTTGCCAGCACCCAGAGCCCCCCCTCACCAGCAGACACACGCAGCCCCCCAGCTGTGGGGTCCCCTCCTGCCAGCTGCCATGCACTGGGCTGATAAGCCACCCCTGGCTGGGGATGGGAACCACAATCTCCACTTCCCACCTGCCCATTGTCCCCACCCACAATGGACCGGCAACCCCTAAGGGACTGTGACCTCCATCCCGGGGACACTCTTGGTGTCTGGGTTGGAGGCAGGCAGGAGGCTCACAATGAATGAAACCTTGGCCCACTGCCTTTTACCTACACTGATCCCTCAACCACAATGCCTGCCCACAAGCAGCCAGCAGCCTCTATTTCCTTCATCTGAAAATAGAAACAGTATCTCCCTTGCATGATTGTACAGGTTAAAATGAAAGATGTCTTTAAAGTGCATGGCACAATTTCTAGCACACACTCACTTTATTCACTGGAGTTGTTCTGATGGCTGGTAAGAGAGGCCTACACGAGAGACCCTAAGCTGGAATAGGGGGACACCCTTTAAAGATACTGGGAATAGGCAAGTGGGCCCTGGGAAGGGGCCACAGCCTCCCTCCTTCTCTCTCTCTGATTCTGGCTTCATCTTTCTCTTTTCCCATAGACGGGCTTCCTCTCCTTTTTTAGGCTCACGCAGAAAATAGAAGGTGCCTGGCCCACATTCCCAAGCATCCTGAGGACAGATCAACCCTCTGTCTGTCATGAGATATCAATTCTCAGTTCAGAGGGCAGAGGAACTGATGGTCCAGCTTGGTCCACTTATCTTCCCCAGTCCAGTCGCCTGTGGCCAAGGGGCCAGGGCTGTTTTATGTGACATGAATGCAAAGAGGAAGGCAAGGGGGTTATTGTGGGCTGGGTTGGGGGGGCACAGAGACACGCACCAAACCTGTAGTTATTATTAGCTACGTGTATCATGTGAACATC